GAACACATTAAGTTTAGCACCTTTTAACAGATTTTTCTTCTCCAACCAAAATGTGCAGGGTGGCTAAACTGAGAACCTGATTGCCTATTTCTGTCACCACTAGAAACAACAATCTGTTTTACTCATTGCCTACACGGAGAGAGTCCCCATTTCTTCTCCTCTCTCTAGCCTGGTGTCTCACTAGCTAGCAGCTTGCAATCGAGAAAGAGGGAGAAAATCTTCCCTCCACAGAAAGAGTGAAAATTTTGGAGCTGTTGACTTCACAGGAGACAAAAAAAGAGGAACCAGGACTGGCACATATAAATAATGAGTGGTACAGAAAGAATAGGTTGGGAGTGTCAGTCGGATTTTTTTTTTAAACAACACAAGAACAAGACAAGTTCAAAATTAAACAGCTGAGACTGATAATTCCCCCAAACAAGCGGCTTTGTCAACACTGAAAGGTAGGAATTATGAGCTGGAAGAGGACTAAACACTTACCTACAGATAAATATCTACATTTGTAGATATTGTGTACAGCTACATATTTATCTATATATTTGTATACCCAGATTATCTGGATAAGTTTTTGAAGAGCTACCGAACCCCATGCTCATATCCTCTCCAGCTAGTAGGTGAAATAGGTTTTCCCATACACCTTCCCTATATGCCTGCTGCCATTTATTTCCTAGCTCCATCAGGACCTGCTCTAGAACAAGACTTGCTTTACATATCTGAAACTCGTCATCATTAAAAGAAAAGGTTTTGCCCCTACCATTTGAAACAAGCCAACAACTAGTCTTCCAGTGAGGACAGCTCTTAACAGCTTGCAATCAGTATTTTTCCCATCTATGGAAATGGGAAATATGCTGAGCTACAAGTCTGATTTGACCAAAGTACTGAATATGCCAATAATTGCAGGGAAAGCCTGAACATCACTTAAAAAGATAAAAAGAATAAGCTTAAAAGCAACTTCAGACTCGAGGTTCCCAACTTCCCTGTAATCAGCCTTTGTGTAATATTCAGAGAAAGCCTTAGCTATAGGCATTTCAGCACGGTAAATACATATCAGCTGGGGCACCCTCCTTTCCAGGACACCGTTGTCAGTGCTGCAGTGGGAAATCATGTCAGCTGAAGGAAAGGAAATGCATTTTGATAATAATGAAGTTGGTCAAGCTGTCCCCTCATGAAGCCTTCAAGTTCAATCC